GGACAGCGGACAGCGGACACAGGTGCACGTGGTTCTTTCCGGGCGGGTATGGGGGGGCCTGGGACCGATGCCTCTGAGAGCCGTCTGCCCGGGGGTGGGGGGGCGGACAGCGCCCTCGGCAGCTCCCGGGGGGGCTGAGCTCTGACCACACTCCCCAAGCCCCTCGGAGGGAGGAGGGGTCCCTTTTTAAGAAAGGGAATTACACTTTATGGTTTAAGATCTAATGTTTTTCTTACTTGCAGAAACCGTCTTTGTGTTGGGTGATGGTTTTCAAAGGTCCCCAAACCCACAGGGAAGAGACAACTCTCTCCAGGGGGCTGTGGCCGGAAGCCGCCTCTCAGGGTCAGGGTCAGGGTCAGGGTCAGGGTCAGGGTCAGGGTTGGGGGGGGCTGTGGCCGGGAGGCTGCCTCTCAGGGTCAGGGTTGGGGGGGAAAGCCTGTCTGCCAGTCCACGCCGCCACCTGCTCCGGAAGCCACCTGCAGGCACTAAGGTAAACGAGGGGGAGAAGTGAGGGAGCTTCTTATGCTCAGATTCTCGTTAGTCATTTTACAGTCCGGCCTCGTTGGAGCTGGGGAGTGCACAGCTGCGGGCAGACACGGGTGCCCTCCCCACGGCGGCGATGGCGGGTGCAGACCGGAGGGGAGAGGCCAGACGGAGAGCGGGGGGACACCGGCCATCTGGCCCCTCCTCCAGCTCCCGCTGCTGCAATCAGCAAAAACAAAATAAAGCTGAGTGAACCGCAGCCTCTTCCAAACCCTGGCCCCAGCCTGTGGGGAGGACGTGAGTAGCTGTGATCCTTTGCTGTTGGTAAAACGAACGTATTGGGCGAGGTCTGAAGCTCAGATACGGCAAAGGTTTCTTTCAAAGGAAAACCAAGCTTTTGAAAACTCCCATAAAGCAAAGTCAGCCCCACCCCTTAATGGGGCGCGGAGGCCGCCAGGGCTGGTCTGGGGTCCGGAACACGCACGAGAGCTAAGTCCTGCCCGGCCGTGCGGCTCCGTGGTTGGATGTCGCCTGTGAACCAGGAGGTCACGGTTCAGTTCCGGGCAGGACAGGCCTGGCGGGCGGGCTCGATCCCCGGTGTGAGGCCTGCAGGAGGCAGCTGATCCATGATTCCCTCTCATCATTGATGTTTTTCTCTCCCTCTCCCTTCCTCTGTGAGACCAATAAAACTGTATTTCAGCAATCACTCAGGGAACTCACTGATGTCCCCGAGAAGGGAAGGCAGTGAGTGGGAGAGAGCACCCTCACACAGGCTGGGTGCGGGCCCGCAGCTGGCGACTCACACAGCCATGCCTTCCGGGCTCACCGAGGCGTGAACTCTACCCCCGCTCAGGGGGGCGCCTTCCTGCTGGTGTGAGGAGAGCCAGGGACAAGGCTTTACAACGCAGGGTGCGAGAGCAGAGCTGGGACAGACAAGCAGGTCACGGTTCTCCCTCCCGCTGTGTCAGGGCATGTGGTCCCAGCTCAGCCTTGGTCGGTCTCTCTCTCTCTCTCTCTCTCTCTCTCTCACACACACACACACACACACACACACACACACACACACACACCCCTCTCTGGGCACCTCTCTGGGCACCTCGGATGCTCCCACACAAACGTGGCCTGTTGGGGAAGAGCTATAATCATCTTAACCAATGGCGCCCCAGCCTACAGGTCACTCTCTGGCCAGGGCCCTGGTCAGAGCCACGGCGTCTCTGGGGGTCATAGGTCATTCAATCCTGAAGTTCCACTGGATTGGCCGGTGTGCCCCGTGCTGGGGCAGAGCGCTACCAGAGCGGCAGGGACCACCAGTCTCCCCGGCCAGGCTGGGCAAGAGGAAGTGCTGTGAACAGAGAGCAAACACAACCACAGGCCACTCAGAAACCCGTAAATATGCCTTGAAAACTTAGCAAGATGATGTTTCTTGTGTTTAAGGAGAAACTTGCTCTCTGGTTGGCTCCGCTCCTCGGCAAACACCCTTTTGCCAACCTGAAATGGGCAGGTGCCGGACCAAGAGCTGCAGACAAAACGCACACAGCGACCCCCACCGTTAAAGGGCGCAGGGCCCCTCGGGTGGAGGACAAGCCGGGAAGCAAAGCCGGCCCTCGGGAATAATGCGGGGCTGCAGCACTGAGCCGGAGTCCAGGATCCTCCTCAGTGAAAAACTGAAAAACGAGGAAACCAAGTGATAACGTCCTCTTATTCTCTGTGTCTCAAATGTATAATCTATAAACCAGAGTTCCCACTTCGGAAAGGAAGGAGGGGAGAAATAAAAGTTTGAAGTTTTGCTGAGTGAGTTCCAAATCTAACTTTATTACCTGGGACATTATGGCGAGGCTTTTTGACAATATGCATATAATCATTTCAAGGCTGCTTTGAAGACCAGCTACAGAAACTCCTCCTGCACAGGACTCAGCCTCTCCCCGGGCATGGACAGATGGATGGACATTTTCTCCATAACCTACCAATGGATGGTTAGCGATTATAATACAATCCTATCTAACTAATAAAGAGGGAAGATGCTAATTGACTGCCCAACCCTCAAAGATGGCAGCGCCCATGGCCACACGATGGTGGCACCCAGTCCCCTCAGTGCCCTCAGCTGCCCAGGGCTGCCCAAGGCTCAGGTAACCAGGGCCGGCCACGGCTTGCACTGCCGGCAATGGCAGCAGCAGAGGTGTGATGGGGGTGTAGCTTTCTCCTGATGGCTGGTGGCCTCCTGCCCCTGCGAGCTCCCGGACTGTGAGAGGGGGCAGGCCAGCCTGAAGGACCCCCATCCAGTGCATGGGCCCTGAGACCTCACCTGGGACCTGGGGCCTCCCCTGGGGCCTCTCCTGGGACCTGGGGCCTCCCCTGGGACATGCTCACCTTCTGCGATGACCACACAAGACCATGAAGAGCGATGTTGGGTTAAAAATAAACCCTAGCGAGCAGGCACACTGGCAAACATGGAAGCCGTGAGTAGGTGAGCCACCATCGGGGAAGGGACAGCCTCTGCCTTCTATTCTGAGAAGCAGCCGTGGAGGCCGTGGCCCCGGGAACGTCTTGTTTGCCCAGAGGCCGCAGGCGGCCGTGCCGCGGCCGTTGGCAGCTGCCCCCAGCGGCCCTGGTTCCTGCGGAGGAGAAACCTAAGCACAGCCCGAACCCCTGTGCGTGAAACCAAACCCAGCCTGCGTCCCGTTATCAATCACTTGGATGTGACAGGCGCTGTGTTCAGCAATTTACATGCATCATTGAGTTACACCCTCCGGCCCCGGACAGCGCCGCGCAGCGCACGCAGCCATCCATTACCGGTCGTTAAGGTGGCAGGTGAGCCTGGGGCGCAGGTCGGGTGACTTGGAGCCCAGCTCCGCGATTTTGATATTTTTTTACAAAAAGGTCTGACTCCCATGTTACATTTATGATAACATCGCACAGATCTGTACATTCAGAAACAGACTTACCAACCACAACCTTTAAGCCTGGTCTGATACTGGCCGACAGCAGAGAGCATCTGACCCTCTGGGCATCTGGTGTGTGTCTGGCTTCCCTTAATCTGTAACGATGGGCAGAGCTAATGCATTATGTAAGGCCATTTTTTTTTTCTCAAGAGATGTGGATGCCTCTTAAGAATTTGATGGAAATGCATTAACTTTCCAGGCTACTGCGCCGAGGCAGTAGCTGAGCGGACGGTGTGCAGAGCAGCTAGCGACCTACAATGAATAATGTCTGATATGGAGCACGGCACTCTCCTGGGGGAAGAGAGTAAGGGGTTCGCTCTCTGAGGGAGGCAGCCCGCTCCTGGCCGGGGGCTGCAGGGCTCCCGGCTCCGGAAGCTCAGAGGGAGCGCGACCCCTCGGAGGCCGCTCAGGTGAGAGCACAGCGCCTGCCGCTGCTCCCGACCTCCCCCCGCAAGCCCGCCAGGGGGTGCCCTCTAGTCAAAGTGAGAACCGGCAAAGGGTGCGAGCCCATCACAGCGTGGGGGGGAATGGGTGCCTTTGATGGGGGGCGCTTCCCTGGGAGCTCACATGTTCTGACAGTTTCTGGGGGGCAGACCACGTGTCTTGCTTTTACCACCGGCACCGGAGACGGAGGGAGTGGGTGCTACACTGCTGGTCAGGAAGCTCACTCTCTTCTTGTTCTGAGTTCAGGAATTCTCTACTGGCTCACAGTATGCTCTCAGTAATAAACTATGAAGCAGTACGTCTTCTGAGAGATACTCGCCTGCAATTTTAGAATAGGAATAAAAATAATAAAAAAGCATACTTTTTATGAGTAAAAGATACTAAATAATTTAAAAATAATTCCACTATAACACCATGATAAGTATGATTTCCAACATGTGCTAAAAATGTATTCAGGAAGGAAAGTTTCTCAAATTAGAGCTGAAAACCTTTTACTAGTATAACAGCCTTGACTTTTCATTCAGCTCTTCCTAATTGAAATTTACATTTTCCTAATTTCACAGGACTGAAAGTAATGTAATACAACAAATAAATTTTTTTTTTACTTCAAATGCCTGCTTAAATAGCATAAAATAATTTTTAACTCTTGAGAAATAACATTGCAACATGTAAAATAGGCAGTGTGAACTGAGACTTACTTGTTGCAATTATAGCTTCCAAGCCCCACATGTATGGATGAACAAGACCGAAGTGCAGTTCGTGTTATTGTTTACATACTTTCATTTCTCCATCGTCACCTCTCCCTCTCTCTGCCGATCTGCAGATTTCTTTCTTTCATGGAGCACCCAGATGCACCAGCTCGCCCCGGCCTGTAACGGAACACTGCCTGGGCCTGTGACAGACAGGGTTTAACCTCTGACAGCGAGATTCATTGTGGAGCAGGAGCCAATCACAGGCCCCGACGACACTGGTCTCATCCAAGTCGGAATATAAAAAGCCACTTGGAAGACAGCGTGCAAGATTCCCGGGGTGGCCACGGGCGTCTCCGACTGTCCAGGCACCACGCTCTGCCTGCCGTTGCTCAAAAGCGGCAGAGGGAGCAGGCACCGGGGGAAGCCCGCACAGCTCTCAACCATGCAGAAGCTGCAGGTCTGTGTGTCCGTCTACCTGTTCGTGCTGATCGTGGCCGGGCCCGTGGACCCGAGCGAGAACGGCGAGCAGCCGGGCGACGCGGGGAGAGAGACGCCGCCCTGCAACGCCTGCGCCTGGCGGCAGAACACCAAGTCGTCCCGGATCGAGGCCATCAAGATCCAGATCCTCAGCAAACTGCGCCTGGAGGCGGCTCCCAACATCAGCAAGGAGGCCGTCCGGCAGCTGCTGCCCCGCGCCCCGCCGCTGCGGGAGCTCATCGACCAGGACGACGTGCAGCGGGACGGCGGCGCCGAGGGCTCCCTGGAGGAGGACGACTACCACGCCACCGCCGAGACGGTCATCGCCATGCCCACCGCGCGTGAGTACCGCCCGCGGCCGCGGCCTCCGGGTCTGTGCTCGGCTCGTCAGCAAGCGGGGGTGTGGAGGGGGGGCTTTGTCTGCTCGGGATTTCAGAGGGTGACAGTAGGGAGACTCAGAGCTGAGGGTGTGGGCCAGGCACCCCCGTGCGCGGTGGGATTGGCCGCGGGAGGTGCCCAGGCTGGCACCGGCACCGGCACCGGCACCGGGCAGCCAGGAGAGGAGCTCCAGGCCACGCTGCAACGCGCACGGAACCACGCCTGCATGTGGTTGCTTGAAACATGCATGTGTGGTGATGAGGTTTTTCACTGAGAACAGGGACCGGGGACTCGGGGACTCGGTGAGTCAGAGCCGAGCTGAGCCTTGGCCGGCACCCGGAATGACTCCTGGAACTCAAAACCCTTCCTCACGGGGCGTCTGTGTTCCTGGCAAATGAAACTATTTCATTTTAAAAGCGACCCCATGGAGAGCAGGAGGAAATACTTTCTACATGCAATGCATTAAGAAGTGCGATGACAAGGCATCATGATTATCCTGAGCTAATGACGGGGAAATGCCCGAGAGAGAAGCACGGCAGCCGAGCAGGTCCTGGCTCAAAGCGCTCGTAGACCTGGACCAGGTGCAGGCCGCAGCGTCCGGCCCGCAGAGTTGCTGTGGATTTCTAAAGCATTTCCCAGCTCCTCGGCGAGGGGGGCGGTATCGGGGGCGGCGACCCTGCTCCCCAGAGAGAATGCATTGCATACAGCTGCTTCTGCAGCCCGTTCCAAACCTCATCCGAGGGGAGCAGGCACCTCCACAGAGAAGCGTGACAGAAAGGCTGCTGCCATGCGTCGGTGGGCTCGCCTTCCGCAGTGCTCTCTGCCCTTTAACCCGCTCAGCACAGGCTCCCCACACTGTTCTCCTGGCCCGGCCCCCGGGTGGGAACGTAGCCCGGGCCTCTCCTGCGGGGCCGGGAGCCGCTCTGCCTCAGTCTGAACCGTCTCAGGGACGCCAGGCGGAGAGGCAGGTCTCAGGGCTTCTCCTCCGGCAGCCTGGCGCCGCAGACGTGCTTTCCAGCTTTGGACATAGCCCCAGCTTAGCCTTTCACTTTGGTGCGGATTACCTGCCTGGTTTTGAGCCTCTAAAACGCTATTCCCATCCCAGAGCCCGGAGGGGGCCGGCAATGCTTCCTGCTCGCCCTGGCGCCGCTGTGGCCGCGTGTCCCCAGGTAGTTCAGGCGGGGGGCAGGGCTCCTCCGCAGACTGACTGGTGCAGCTGCTCAGTGTAACTGCTCAGATTCCCAAAGAATTCTAAGTGGATGTTCCTCCATGGTGTCTCCTGCTCTCTCTAATCATCGTCGTTTTAAATCGCATCCGCCTCTGCTTCCGTCTCAGGGCTTCCCGGCGTCCACGGTTCTCTGGAAAGGGAGCCGATTGCTCATAAACAGCTGAGAAAACATCTGAGAAATTCTGAAGAACTAGAGTCATTCTTTCCGGGGACATTTTTCTGGGTTATGAATGAGAGTCTCCCGTTTTTCATCTTAAATGACTAAATAGACATTCGTTAATCCAAGAGAAAAAAACACCAGTTAATATGAAAGGGTTTGTTCATTTTTTTTTTTATGAGAAATAATTTCAGTAACTCTTTTTCCGGCTCATGTTTTAGCTGATCTTCTGACGCAAGTGGAAGGAAAACCCAAGTGCTGCTTCTTTAAGTTCAGCTCCAAAATCCAGTTCAACAAAGTGGTCAAGGCCCAGCTGTGGATCCACCTGCGGCCCGTCAAGGCGCCCACGACCGTGTTCGTGCAGATCCTGAGGCTCGTCAAGCCCATGAAAGACGGCACGAGGTTCACGGGAATCCGATCCCTGAAACTCGACATGAGCCCGGGCGCCGGCATTTGGCAGAGCATCGATGTGAAGACGGTGTTGCAAAACTGGCTCAAGCAGCCCGAATCCAACTTGGGCATTGAAATCAAAGCGCTAGACGAGAACGGCCGTGATCTCGCGGTGACCTTCCCGGGACCCGGCGAGGATGGGCTGGTGAGTGAGGAGGGGCAGCCTCTGAGGTCTCACCGGGATGGGAACAGGTCGGAGTGGACAGCCACAGGCTCCTCTGCTCCCGGCCAAACGCGGTCCCTCAGCCCTGTACCCAATAAAAGCGCGTGTCTGGTTTCACACCGCCGGAACACCCTCCTGATAGTTTTACTTCGCATCAGGGTTTTTAAAAAAGGTATTCCACAGCCCTTCGCTCCTTAGGGAGTTCTCCTGAATGATTATACGAATACGAGCATGAAGTCTTCAGAGTGGATTCGAGTACACACCCAAGACATCAAAACCCCCTCTCCCTGCCCCAGAGTGTAATGCGTTGCATTCTTTTCGCCTTAATAAAGCATAAAAAAGCTTTGTAAGCTATAATGAAAATAAAATGCTTTTATTTATAGCAATAAACTAAGTACAATATGTTTAGTCTTATACACTATATTAAAGGTCCCTCATACGTATGCTCATTATTTTGTAGGCTGTTTATATATTTGTAGGTGCAAATGTATATGTGGGTTACTTTGTGACTCATGCTAATAAAATGTAATGCTCAGGCTAGTTACCCTGAGCTGCCTACGCTATTTCTGAGCTGCCTTACCATTCAAGAGTAAATAAATATTCAGGAGTTTACTTAGGTAGGGTATGCCAACTAATTTCATATCAGGCCAAGCAGATGACGATGCCTTATAATTTATAAAAATTAATAAAAACAAGTGTAAAACCTAGTGTAAATTTAGAGCAGTAGTTAAAAATTTAGAACTTTTCTGTTTACTTATGCTTGTTTACAAAAATGGATCAATGTGACAATATTTTCACTTCATCTATTGATATGATTTACAACAAAAGATTATACTTGCAAGCAATAAATGTTGCTTTTTTAGTTTTCTTACTAAGTGGTATTAAGTCAGCTCTACTTTAATGAAAACATATTCTCAAAGAAATGATAGAGTTTTTCAAATGACCTATTTTTCTTTAACTACGCTACATAAAATGTTATTGACTCTCAAAATGATGTTACTGTTTTTATAATCTTAAATAACAATGACTGGTAGGTATCTTTTGGTTTTGGTGTAGGATAAGAACAATTATTCATTATATGAGAAAGTGTTCTTTTTATAAGTAGCATTTTAATGATCAGAGTTGGTGATGTGATAGACTTCAGTGATTATTTAACAGGTGGTTAATATGACATATTCCTTAGAATTTTTCATGTAGAAAGAAACAGTCTCAAATGCATTAAAAGATTGGTGCAGGGGAAGGGTTAGAAAATGATTTTCTAAATATAGATTAGAAACTTCTTTCAGTGAAAGAATAAAGGAAACATTACCGGACCTTTTTCTGCATCTGTCCCTCTTCTCTCAGAGTTTCTCTTTCCAACTCACTCATACCACCTCCTTCACCACCTCCCTTCCCTCTCCCACTGCATTCCCCCCTGCCCTGGGGTGCCTACTAGATTCTGCTTTCATCCCCACGTTTCCGGGAGCGGGAAGGGGTGAGCGTGCCTCCCTTCCCAGGAGTCCGTGGACCGAGCCCACGTATTTGATCAATAAGAGAGAAGAGAGGGGGTGGCCTCGCCTCTTCCTTTCTTCTCATAGTCTATACACATTTTCGGAGCATCCACTAGATGCACAGGGAGCCCTGTATCGCTGCTGCATAAGGGAAGGCTCAATCCTAGTGTAAATTACAATCCCCTAATTCAGTGCCCTTTGAAAGTAAACGTGTGTAAGCAGTGTCTCTTCAATAATGACTTCTCCAGACAGGCTGGTGTTTCAGGACCCGTGGGTGGTACTGACTGCTCTTTCCTCTTTACCCAGAACCCCTTCCTGGAGGTCAAGGTGACAGACACACCCAAAAGATCCAGAAGAGATTTCGGCCTCGACTGTGATGAGCACTCGACGGAGTCGCGCTGCTGCCGCTACCCGCTGACAGTGGACTTCGAGGCCTTCGGCTGGGACTGGATCATCGCCCCCAAACGATACAAGGCCAACTACTGCTCCGGGGAGTGCGAGTTTGTCTTCCTACAGAAGTACCCTCACACTCACCTTGTGCACCAAGCAAACCCCCGGGGCTCGGCGGGCCCCTGCTGCACCCCCACCAAGATGTCCCCCATCAACATGCTGTACTTCAACGGCAAAGAGCAGATCATCTACGGGAAGATCCCCGCCATGGTGGTGGACCGCTGCGGGTGCTCATGAAACTGGCATCCGGCTTGTAGCTTCCCAAACGTGGAAGGCCTCCCCCAGCTATTCTGAAACTGTGAAGTATGTGCCTCAGGCTCTAAGCCTACAGCAGGCTACCGTCACATAAGCACGCACGACAGGACATGAACTAAAAGCGAGCATCTATGCAATGATTGGCATTTAACCATCAAAACAGATCACACACTAGAAAGCTCTGATTCCCGGAGTTTTGAACTAGGAGGTCAGATTGCACGTAGGTTCATACATGCAGCATGACACACATAGGTGGCTGCGAGGAGCTCTCCTTGCGTCCTAGCGGGTGGACGGAGAGCTGTGACTCACCCTCTAGAGTTGCATTTAGCATCACACAAGCTCGGTAGGTAGGATTGGGGAACGCAGCGCTGTTGTGTTCTATCATTTAAACCAGCCTCACACACTTGAACTTACATTGTCTGATAGAATGCTTGGTAAGAAGAAACTCCACAAAAACAGGGATGGGACACACTATGCAAGCCCCATGCCTGCGTTCCCTGTTCGTACATAACAATCCATGCCATGGTGCTAACACAGCAGACTGAGCAGCCATGCATCAGGTTATCAGAACAAACCTTCAGCAAGAGGAAGAGCTAGTCCTTTCTGCAGGCACACGTCCCTAGACCTCCCCGTGGGGAATGCTTTTCCTTTAGGACATTGTAGTATACTTGGAGAAACCGATTCGTCTTAAAAGGTAGCCAGAAAGTATTCATTTCTATCAAAATTTCCAAATTCCAAAAATTTACAAATTACAGCTTGCCTTTGCAACACTGCAGTTTTTATGATAAATAAAAATGACAGATCCTATCAATGTTGTATAAAAGACTTTGAAACAACTGCATTTATATAATGTGTATACAATTTTTTTTTTTGTAAATAAGTGTCTCCTTTTTTATCTACTTTGGTATATTTTTACAGTAAGGACGTTTCAAATTAAGTATGAAGGCACAAAGATATGTCTCATCTGACAGAAATGCAACTGCTTATACTTCAGATAAATTAGCAAATAAAACAGTGGTCTTAAAACTCACATGCTGATGGTTAGATGGTTACATTACAATCATTTTCTATTTTTTTTACATTACAAACATTCACTTATGGATTGATGATGGCTGTAAAATATGAATGTGAAATTTCCACAGTTTACTTGTGATTGCACTCAAATCTCAACGTTCCATTATTTTAATACTTATAAATATCACTGAGCATACCAAAATGACTTCATCCTGTCATCTGAAATACAGAATAATAAGCTGATCTTAATAAGAACTGTTAATTTTGTAATTCAATAATGAATATATTTCTGCATATATTTACTTCTGTTTTGTAAATTAGCATTTTGTTCATCAAATTCATTGTACTTATGATTAAGTGAAATTATTTCTTACATGTAATGTGTAGAAACAATATAAATTATATTAAAGTGTTTTCACCTTTTCTGAAAGACACATGATTTTATGTTTCGAAGATTAATTCTGGATGTCTGGTTTTCACTTTATTATTGGAGTCAAATGGCTCAGCACACAAGTTTGCTTGGGACTTTGAGGTCTGCTCCTCTGGTTCTCATGAGTGAGCTTCTGTCCACTTGGTCCTAGTCAAGCTGCTTGACACATAAAAGCAAGGACTGGCTTTATCTGCTTCCTTTCTCTTTATCGTGACCTGAAAACTATTTATATGTTTTCATAGGTTCACTTTCCAAACGATGGCAGCTGGCAGTGCCCGCGGTCCTAGGGTTACAGCCCTGCCGCGGCCACGGGACACGGCTGCCTCCGCCTCGCTCGCAGTGACCCCGGCACATTCCTCCGGGCCGGGCGGCACCCAGCGGGTTGAAAACAGTGATAAAGGGCCTCTTCACCCCGAGTGCAGCGTGCGCCCGTCTTTCCACTGCGCTCCCCTCGGCACCCTCTGCCGTGAGGACGTGGTGCAAAGCAGTCGCAGGTGATGAGCATGCCATGGAGAGTCATGGCTGCTGGATGCGGATCTCTCACTCACAGGAATGCAATCTTTAACCAGTGATGTATAGCCACTCCTTTGGCTGCTGTGAGCACTGGCGTGTCACACTGAGGGGGGCGCAGAGGGCTGCCCTGTGCGGGGAGGCCTCTTGCAGGAGCACACCCTGGGACCTACTCTTCCGGGACCTGAATGTCTAGGTCTGTGGCCGGCAAACTCATTCGTCAGCAGAGCCAAATACCAACAGCACAACGATTGAACTTTTTTTTGAGAGCCACATTTTTTAAACTTAAACTTCTTCTAACACCACTTCTTCAAAACAGACTCGCCCAGGCCGTGGTGTTTTGTGGAAGAGCCACACTCAAGGGGCCAAAGAGCCACATGTGGCTCGAGAGCCGCAGTTTGCTGACCATGGGACTAGGTAATAGGCCCATGCATGTACATAGGCTGGCATACAAGTAGCCGGAGACCGTGGCCTCCATGGGGGAATGTGGGGAGGGAGCACCTGTTTCCTAGGAGCCACCCCCAATCGTTAGAGTCCCCTTTCCCTGGGCCCAGGGTCCCTCACCACTGTCCCCGAGGCAGCCCCCTCGTGAAGCCCAGGACCGGGGAGGCGGCGACCGGACACTGTGACGGGCCTGCGCACTTCTGCGCGGGGTCCTAGCAGGCACGGGCGTTCTGCCTGGCTGTCCGGGCGTGGCATTCGCATCTCAGCCCTGAGGACACGCATGTGCACCTGCAATCCCAATCCCTGAGATTGAGAAGACATCATGTGAAGCTCAATGCACTGTATCAGGTTTAATATTCTGAATTTTTTTGGTAATACTTCCCACAAATTTAGATGAGTTAAAAATAATAAAAATAAAGAAAAAAAACCTTTCCAAACTCTATAGTCCTTTTTGTATTCAAGCTGGTTTTTGCAGTTCTGTATAGAACTTTATTTCATTAAAATAAAGAAGGCAATAATTTGACATTGGCAGTAACTAAATTAAAACTCACTTAGAACTCCCCCCTCCTAAAAATCCAATTTATTTCACTTTAAGCCATGATTCACAAACATTAGAATGTCAATAACCCTTTTGAAATCTGTTGAAGACTAGGGACACTCTCACAAGAAAAAAACACACATAAATTTGAACATAGTTATCAGGGAATTTAGGTCCTTTCTACAGCCCATTCATTGAACCTAGTTTATAAACCCTTAGGAGGGATACTGAGTTTTCCTTCTTAAGATAAAAATTATTATTTATGAACTAATAAAGTGTATTTGTAAAGATGTGCTTTCTAATTAATTAGTTTTGTCATTAAGCAATGTGAGTGCTGGAAAAGAAAAAGGAATATCAAATCACTGGATGTCTTTTTTATAATATACTAGAGGCCCAGTACACGGATTCGTGCACTGGTGGGGGCCCTTAGCCTGGCCTGTGGGGATGGGCTGAAACTGGTTCTCCAACATCCCCCCAGGGGTCCTGGATTCCAAGAGGGTGGTTCTCAGGTGACATACCCCAAATCGGGCTCCCTCCTCTTTGGTTCCCGGTGCATCACCTAAGAACTGCAGCTGCCAGTCACCACAGCTCGGCAGCTCCTGTGTTGAGCATCTGCCCTCTGGCGGTCATTGTGCATCTGGATGGTTAGCTGGTCAGCTGGTCGGCTGGTCGCTTAGGCTTTTATATATATATATATTATTTCAGAGAGGAAGGGAGAGAGAGCTAGAAATAACAATGACCAGAGAAAATCATTGATCAGCTGCCTCCTGCATGCTTCCCACTGGGGATTAAGCCCACAACCAGGGCATGTGCCCTGACTGGGAATCAAACCAGGACCTCCTGGTTCAAAGGTTAATGCTCAACCACTGAGCCATGCCAGCCAAGAAAGTCACTGGATGTCTTAACTTATTTACTAAAGTATTCTATGCTTCTTAAGGATCATATAATCTCCAACTGGTAACTTTGTGATAGATTAAACTGGACAAATGAGTTCAAATTATAAACTCATGCTCATTTTATGTATCAAAAACAAAATCAAGAAACAATCCAGATAATTCTGGGTGTGAGAATTAGTAGGGTATGAAATGATAATATTTATTCAGTACCAGATTTGTGCCAGGAACTTTTTTAAAATGCTCAGTGTGGGATACATCAGTGTCCCCAACTTATAGACGAGAACTCGGAGGAATAGAGACAATTGGAGGTATGTCAGTGGCGGGGCCTGGATTTGAACTAAGAGCAATAATGATTCATTATGCTGGTTACAACAGCTCTTCACCAAGCCCTAACAGAAGAACGAAACTGCTTTTTCGTGTCTGCGTTTTGTAAGATAGCTTTATCTGGATTCAGCACGGGCTTTGCAAAAGGTTGGGTGGCTGCATTTCAGTGAAGGAGGAAGAGGAGTGTGAATGAGAAGAGGGTAAAGAGCAAGTGATTGGCATAGCAGATACATACATACACAGGCACGGAAATGAGCTGGTGTCGGATGTGAGAGCTGGAAGGTCTGAGAGTCATCTAATTCACATGTGACAGGGCGGTAGCCTAGAGAGGACTGTCCAAGCGCATGCCGTGATTGGCTCAGGGAACAGGACGCTGGAGCAGAAGGGATGCTGGTCCGCATGTAGGGAACGAGCACAAAGGCAAAGAACAGAAGAGCTAAAACCAAGAATTATTAGCTGGGAAGAGGCAATGCTGGACACTAGTCATGCCCACAGGAGTGGAATAGTTTACATCTGTCCACACAAATCTAGCAGCCTGGCCATCTTTCTAGACAAACAGACTCTGAGGGAAATCCAGGGAGTGTGTGATTACACCGCTGCTTCATTGGGAAGAAGGATAAAAATTGAAATAGTAATCAGTTTTCAAAGTGCTTTCACATTAATGATGTAATTTTACCTCTACAATGCTGAAAGTTAAGTATTATTACTATACCCATGTCATAGAGGAATTGAGGCTAAAAGAAATTAATCAACTTGCCCAAGGAAACATAGCATTGAATATCTGTATATTAACTATACAAGAAATAGAAATGTATCAATTATACTT